AGAAGGGTTCGAGGGTTAAATTCAACAAAGCTTTGAAGATGTCCAAGTCAAAGGAAAGTGATTATTGACTAGCCTCCTTTAAAGAGGCTAAGATTTTTAATAGAAATAAGAAATGAGATGCTAGCATCTCTTCTACCTTTGAAGAAAGCATCGGAGATGAACAAAAACTTGATATTGATTGTGTTCACAACCCTAACACTCTATATCAAGTTAGGGTTTTCAATGGAATTACCCAAGTGCACGTGTCGATCAAGTGATGCAACAGTGAGTTGAGTATCATTCCCATGAGGATATTTGCGATCTCAATATTACTCTAGTACTAGTCCTATGAACAACTTAATTTATCTTATTGGAATAATTAGAAGGTGATGCAAATAAAAGTAAATAACTATGATTATTAGAAGAAAATGTTATGTTTAAAGTATCCTAAAATTATGACAATTAAGAGTTCATAAAAACATAGATTGAACTCCTATATTGTTGTTGTGGATCAAAGCATATAAAACTCCTCATATTTGTCGAGCTCATTGAAGTTTTTAGCAAAGAAATACTTTACTACAATTTTTTTTTCTCCTTAAAGATCCCAATATTCTATCCACCATATGTTTATGCATGGTGGAATCTTGTTCTAATTCCCCTAATTGATTCCAATACACCTCTATCGAGGACGTATATCATAATATATTTTAAATTTGTGTAAGGCCTATAAACAATCTAAATGAAGCATGAATGATTTAGAAATAGAGTTGTATTATTAATAGCTTTTAATCTTAACTTATCATTAGCCCATAAGGGAGTTTTAGCTAGAAGTTGTAAATAAAATAATTAGAGCAAACTTCTTTTTTATTCTAAAAAAGTGCAAGATAAAGATAAAGGGTAGATAGAACCAATATTGTCTTACAAACACTAACTAAAAATTCTCCTTAAAATAGGCTCCGCTTCCCTTGGCTTACAAACGCTTTCTCCCATCCACTAACTAACTCTATGACTGATTACATGAGTAAAACATGCTAGTCCTCACAAAAACATTAGCCATGCTATTTATATTTTAGACTCATAACTAACATTGGCATCGTGACACTGAAAATGGTAGTGCTACGATGCTCCCTTTTTGAACTAAAGCTATGATGTTGATGTTTTTCTATGTTATGGTGTTTTAATTAAATTATTGTGTCATTTCTTAATTGCAACTAAATTAATTTCTCTATTGCGGTGCCCATGCGATTTAGAACTATGACGTCTAGGCATTGTGGCATTGATGGATATTTGGCATTGTAGTACTTAGAGAGGATTGCAGCCTTGGCACTTTACACCTTGTAGTGCCTTGCTCTCTATTTTGAGCTAGATTTAGGGCTTGAATTTTGTGGTGCTCTAAAACATTGGCGCCATGATGTTGGGTACATTTCTTTAAATTTTTAACTCTTTATATAAATTCTCCATCACAAAATCATCAAATTGGATATATGAATCTTTTGATATAATTTTCTAGAGAATAACTATTCATCCATAACTTACAACCTCAATGTACTTTTTTTCTCATGTTCGCTATATAAGAAGTTGGTTGATAACCTAGCCAACATTTTTCATTATGCCATGATGAAGGTGAATGACAACAATTGATGGTTCAACTACATAATGGCTATTAACAATAAGAGGATGCTCTTGAGAATAAAGTTGGTGACTAGAATAAGTTGTTGAGTGATCAAAAAGTAAGAAAGAGAAGTAGGTGAACCAACTACTGGCAAACTAAAGGAAAAGAACTTCCTGAAGGATATAAAACTTTCATTGATGATTTCCATGCCCAGAATAAAGAAGGCAAGATTTGAAAGTCTCCCATTAGTGAATAGTAGAGAATGAAGATCAAGCTGGGCTGATGCAAGTGAACGAATTGACTTTAAAGTTAGCTAGCACATTTTTCAAGAATTCTACAAATAGCTAAGTACCAGGAAGTTTTGTCATCCAAATTTATGAAAGGTGTAAACTTCTAATTGGATAATCTTGTGGAGAAAGCGGTCATCCTGTTTAGGGAAAAGAATAAGGATGACTTCCGAGCTTTCGTAATAAAGTCAATCTCCATTGAAAAACACTACAGGAAATTTGCTCATTACCGGTGGTTTACTTGTAAATATCGACGGTTCTGAATAAAACCGGCGGCTTCTCGGCGGTTGTCACACTGCCGAAAAAAATGGCATCGGAAACCTTTAAAGGGCAATGATGAGGAGAATGAGACTAGTAATTAATGACACATTTTTTATTTTTTCTCTTTGTTGTATAGTTGTATAAAATTTCAAAGTGATAAAGTTTTTATAAATTTGCAACTTACTTGAGGATTTGTTTTGCTTCTTGAATATTTTTATGAATGAATTTTGAATAACGAATCTCAAATATAAAATATCAAGTATCGTGTATTGAATATAAATTGTCAAGTGTCCAATATCAATTACAAATTTTCTTTAGTTTAAGAAGGTGAATATCAAATATGATATATAATAAATTAAGTCCAGATATTGAGCACTATTTTTAAATATATAGGTTTAATACAAAATATGAATATTAATAGGAAAATATTAAGCATTACTTTTAAATGAGATGAATATTGAATGTGAAAATTAATAGGCAAATATGGAATACTGCCTTCAAATAAGATGAATATTTAATATGAATGTTTATTAATGAATATTTAATACTAACTTTAAATAAGAAGAATTTGAATATGAATTTTGACACTTGAATACTAAATACTAATGTAAACTAAGACAACTACTAAATTTGAATGTTGGTTGGTGAATACCAAATATGCCTAGCTACTTTTTAAGCTCAACATTGAATTGAAGTCACTTTAACTTTTTATTCTTTTTTTTTTGAAGAAAATGCAACAATTGCATTAATAAACTAAGAAGAAAATACAACCTACAAACAATCAAACAACAGATTCCTCCTTTAACAAAGATAAGAAAGAAGGAGGAATCTTATTCATACTGTCATCCCAAATAAAAGAACTCATCAAAGCATAGTTAGCACACAAGTCCGCTAACTTATTACATTTTATATCTATACAACTAAAAATTGCATGATCGAAATTATTGATATAATGAAAAGCTTCCAAATTCGGATCACTGTTTGATTTGGAATTTTGAAGGAATTTGATGATGTTAGCATTGTCACCTTCTATAATAATGCCCTTGTATTTGTACATCCATTCTTTGATTACTCCTTTTATTGATTGAGTAGCTATAAGCTCCAATCTAGAAATATCCCAATGAACACAAGCATATACAAATGCTAAAAGAAACCTGCCTTTGTAATCACGGAAAACCCCACTAACTCCAGCTTTATAAGATGGAAGTAACGTCGCATTAACATTAACTTTGATCCAATCGGGACGAGGAGGGTGCCATTGCAAATTAGACAACCTAGATGGTTGGTTAGCACCCCATATACCCAAATTTATACAAATCACATCAGTAGAAAAGGAGGCATAGCTCAAGGCATGAGCAACAATAGTCAAAGAACTATCATCATTTTCTTTATGAATCAACTTATTCATTGACGTCCATGAGAAGAAGACCACATTGTGATACAATTTTGTTAAGAATGATCTCTGATTAGACATCCACTTACAACATTCCTCAAATGAGTGAAAGGATGGAATATAAAATCTCCATCCATTAATTTTTTGTATAGTAGGTAGCAGTTTTTCACACTTTACTACATCATGTTCAATGTCTTCAGCTTCCTTACAACCTCTCGGACACCCAACTTCTCTTTGTAATCTTCTATAAGATAAGAAGTAATAAGTTGGAATGGCCTTATTAAAAATTCTCCACCCGTGGGTTCAGTTTGGCCATTTTAATCAAATTCCAAAAATTAGTAAGAGTGTAGTTTTGTACCGAAGCTTCATATGCAAGTGCAGAGATTGTCTTACCAGATAAGTGACATAATAAGTCCATCTTATCTTCAGCCAGTTTAGGTGAAATTTGAATTTGACATATGAGTTCATTCACATTCCAGCTTATATCTGAAATGAAACAGTTCACCGAGAGGTTGCTGTCTTCATGAGTGACAACAAAGCTAGGCCATCTATTTAAGCATTTGTAAAAAATCCAAGTGTCCTTGAATACATAAATTGATTCACCATTAGCTATGATCCATTTAGTAATAGGCTTTGAATATTTCCCACCATCAGATAAAATTTTCCAAGCATTTGATCCACACTTCCTCACTAATTCATCCACTAACAGAGAATTATATTTAGGAAACATTACCTTGTGCAGTAAGGTATCCTTCTCTTGAGAGTACTTCCAAGCAAGCTTAGCTCTTAGAGGCCCAACTTTATGAGAACATGAGTTAAGAGATCTACCTCCACACCTTGTTGGCAAACACATCAAATTCCAGTTTACATAATGTTTCTTGTGTTTCCCATCTGATTTGTTCCAAATAAAGCTCCTACAAAGCTTATCAACTTCATCAAGAACACTTTTATGAACCAAAGAATTAGTAGAATGGAAAGTTGTATAGGAGAGCAAAACAATTTTTACAAGAAGAATTTTCCCAGTTAAGGAAATCAACTTTCCTTCCCAAATGTTCATCATCCTCAAGGCCTTGCCAACAATAAACTGAAAATCAGAACTTTTTAGTCTTCTAAGAGCCAATTTTACCCCAAGGTAAATCAACTCCTTAACAGATTTAAACCCCATGATCTGAGAAATGGCTTTTTTGTTCCTTCTATTTACAGATTTTTTAAAAGGCAAACATGATTTATTGATATTTATTTTTTGCCCTATCCACTCACAAAAATTATTTAAAACCTCTTTAATCTCTTTAACAATCTTAAGCTTATCTTTTGAGAAGATAAAAACATCATCTGCATACAATAGGTGCAAAATCCTAGGACCACTTGGACTCACATGAATTCCCCATGAACTCTCTCTTTGCCTAAATGCATTAGAAAGCAATTGAGAAAAAAGAATAAATAAGAATGAGGACAAGGGACAACCTTGTCAAAAGCCACTTCTAGCATTAATCCAACTAGAATAGTTGCCATTGATCAAAATTGAGAATTTTGGTTCTTGAACACATTCCAAAATAAGTTTTGAAAACTTTGATGAAAAACCAAAATACTCCAAAGCTTTCTCCGAAGTAGGCCAACCCATGGAATCATAGGCTTGCTCTATATCATTTTTGAGTGAAATAAATCCTTTTGAAGATTTAGAAAATCTGAGTTTGTGAGTGAGTTCTTGAGCTACCAACACATGATCTGATAATGATATCCCTTCAAAAAAAGCTGCTTGCTCTTCAGAAATCAATTTGGGGATAATTGAAGACAACCTGTTCATGATAACCTTTGTCGCCACCTTGTATACTATTTTGCATAGACTAATTGGTCTGAAATTTGAAGGCACTAACGGGTTACTCAACTTGGGAATGAGAACAATTAGTGTCTCTTTCCAATTTGGATCCATACAACCCGTCTCAAGGAATTTGTTGATAGCATTCCAGAAATCCTTTTTGATGATGTCCCAATAAGCTTTGATAGAAGGAATAGGAGATTCCATCATTCCCCAGAGCAGTGTTATAAGAACATTGCTTGATCACAGCCTCTACTTCTTCTATTGAAAAGTCTTTGCTCAACATTTTTTGTATCATCATCATCCTATAAGCACTTCCACAGATCTGGCCAATCCTAAAGAAGACAATTCCTATATTTCCATTTTTCTTTAAAGAACCGAACCATAACTTCTTCAATTTGAATTTGATCCTCCACCATGATCCCATCTTCATCCTTGATTTTAACAATGTAATTTGAGCTCCTTCTTGTAGAAGCAAAATGCTGAAAGAATTTTGATCCCTCCTTTAGCCATTTGACCTTAGCACGTTGCCTCCACCAAGTCTCCAACTGAGAAAGTGTAGAATTGAGTTCACCTACTTTTACTTTGAGAGTCCAAGTATCTGCTTCCGAAAGCCCTCCATCCATACATTCTTTAAGTTGAAGTTCCTCTATTTCCTTCAGCAAACATTCCTTTAATTTTAATAAACTATTATGTTTGGCTTTGCTCCAATAGAACAATGCCTTCAATGACTTCTTCATTTTGGAACTCAGAATTTGGGACATAGTACCATAATATTTCTTCATCCAAACTCTTCTTACAACCGCTATTGAAGCCGAATTTGAAGCCCAAACATCTTCAAATTTGATAATTCTACTAGATATTGGCTGAAATTGAAGGAGATTTAGAAGTATTGGACAATGGTCTAATGCAACCCGAGCCAGGTGCCTAACCATCATCCGATGAGAGGAGTTTAAAGCAGCTGAATTCAAGAAACATCTGTCTAGTCTCTGAATAATCCGATTAGCTCCAAATTTGTTGTTACACCAAGTGAACCTTGGTCCAACATATCCCACCTCATAAAAGTCATTACAAGACAAAACAATTTTCATTTCTTTAGGTCCTATGAAAAAAAAAATAAATCTTTTACCTCCTCTTTTATCTTCCTTAGAAAGAAGGCAATTAAAGACTCCCCCTATTATCATTGAAAAATCTTTAGAAGAGTAAAATTCTAGCCTTTCCCAAAGTCTCCTCTTTTTTGTAAGCATCCTTACTCCCATAGAAAGAAGCAATCCTCCACCTCCTTTTATTGATAACCTCCAACTCTCCAATAACAAATTGGGGGGAGGACTCCAAAAGGGGGGGGGGACCCCAAAAAAAAAAAAAAAAACTAGCAATGGTGGAATTCCAAATCAACAGAATGCCTCCAGACAATCCTTCTGAAGATACTTGGAAAAAAATCCCAATATGGAGCAATTAACACATCAACATCCTTCCTGTCAATATTAGTTAACTTGGTTTCCAATATACTAAAGAAAAAAATAGCATTCTCCTTTACCACCTCCTATTAATATAGAGAAGCATTCTTCTTTCTTGCTCCTCTACAATTCCAAAAATCTATGGAAGACATCATTGTAATTGAGGGTATGAAATCCCCACTTTATCTTTGTGTTCTCCTTCCATACTTCTATTCCTTGGGGCCAAATTGATTGGTCCCAAACCTTTGAGTTTTTTAGAAACCTTCTTTTTAACATTAGAAGAGCTAACTTCTTTGCAACTCAATTCACCATTCGTCACACCCATATTACTTTTAACATTTCTTCCCCCAATCTATTTATCCCATCCACCTTACTAGGTGAATTGGGTTCACATATTTCTGAGATAACAATTTCTCCTTCAATCAACCCATCTAAAACATTAAATTTATTTTCCTGAAAAGATAAAATAGAGTTTTTAATAGCCATACCATCTTTACTAAATGCTGATTGTGAATCAACTAGAGCCTCTTGAGTCAGCATTGAACCAGGACCATCAACATGCTTCCCATCTGGGTCTGGATCAGAGGATACTACGGGAATTGAAGATAGAACTTCAGCTACTTCTTGAACAGGTTCCACAGCTTTGATAGCTTCTACAACATTCTCTTTAGGATGAGTTAATATTTCTAGATTTTTCTTCACTGTGTTACCCACTGGACGCACTACAGGAAAAATGGCTATTACCGGCGGTTCCTGGCGGCGGTTCATTGGCCGCCGGTGTCACCGGCGGTTTAGCCGGCGGTTAAACCGCCGTTTGTTAACGACGGTTTGCCGGTGTTTTTTATATGTTAAACCGCCGGTATTAACGGCGGTCTAGAAACCGCCGGCAAACCGCTGGATTATAAATAAAACCGGCAGTTTAGCGGCGGCTTGGACCGCCGTTGATAAGTAATTTTGTACCGGCGGTTTGGACCGCCGGAAAACCGCCGGTTAGTGCCCTAAAATGACCAGGCCCGCGACTCACATCTCATTCTTTCTCCTTCTTTCTCTCTCGTTTCGCTCGCCTCCGCTCGCCTCTGCTCGTGCAACCGCGACCGACGAAGGTTCTCTGACCGCCGCCGACGAAACTTCTCCGACCGCTGACCCAGATCCGACCGGCACTCCGACGTCCGACCTCGCTGACCCAGTCCGACCCCAAACCGCCGGCCAACTTCAAGTTTTCAACCCTAGATTTCTATTTTAAGGTATATTTTATGTTATTTCTTCTATTTCTTTTTCTCACTAGACATAAGCATGTGTTAGAGTTATTTTAGATGATTTAGATAGTAAATATTGTTATAATTTTGGTAGATCTAAATTGTTTAGATTTGTTTCCCACTAGACATAAGCATGTGTTAGGTTTGATACTAACTTTAGAATGAATTCAACATAAATCTAAGTTTAGGGTGAAGAGAATGATGAAAATGAGAACGAACAAGGAAATGGT